TACCTTGGTTTGTACGGAACACCATGAAACACGCAAAGATCTCCGGACAAAACTCCGTGCTATCCTGAAGAGAGACCGCGAATCCTGGTAGTCTCTTTGAGCGTCAGAGATGGAAGTAGCTGCTGCCCTTGGTAACCGTCGAAAGTTATTCCGTCTGATACGGGAAATGGGCAACAGGAGACCTGGTGTTAGTGAAACAATTTGTGACGAGAGTGAACAGCGTATCCACAATTTGTCAAAACGTTTGGAGCTTTGGGCTGAGTAGCGCAGTTTGGCTCACATCTGGTGGGAACGCCAAGTGAGCAACAAGCGTGTTCGACGCCTTGTTTATAACACATGAAAAGGAAATGAACCGCTCAGCATCGCTGTTTCACGCACCAGGCTCCGATGGCTGGGCCACGTGTTGCGCACGCCAGCCCACCGACTTCCGCGACGTGCGTTGTTTGCGCGCGGGGGATGTGGATGGAATAAGAGGAGGGGTGGCCAAGCGATGACTTGGTCGAGAGGAATGAAGGCCCTCCCTTCGGACCTGGCCTCGGTTGGAGCTTCATGGCTCCATGGTTGGGGTCCAAAAGACGATGAACACGTTTGGCTAGATGTACTTGCAGACGTGGCTAGAACCGACCTCAGTGGTGCTCCTGCTGTGAGTTTGTTTCCCCCCCCCCCCATCCCCTTTAGCCTCCCCTCCAACCACGATCTCACTCTGTAGCATAATCAAATTTTACATCATAATTTTTCTCGTTGCCTAGTAGCCGGCTGGTAGCTTTCCGGAACGATGCCTATCCGTTGCTGGTAGTTCAGCTGGCATGCAACTGTTGTATTTATTTTCCTTTTCCTTTTATGTATTGCGGCACAGTAGCTGAGATGCTTTTACACATCTAGCTAACGTGTTTAATGATTTAACGATACGGTTTGTACCGGCCTGTCCATGTTCCCACCTGAACACTGCACGCGGGTATAATTGGAGCAAACAGAACGGGTCGCATGCGTCCTAAGGATGGGAATCATTGGGTGACTGTTGCACACGCGGGTTACGTGTGTGTTTGGATTATACGACACGGAACTTAGCAACGAGTGGTCCTAAGCTTCCTGTCAGCTCGATCGGCCAGTATCTGCTTGATTGCACCTTGTGCGAAAACTCTCATAACGCATTCAAGGTTATCAACAGGCAGAATACTCTGAGCCTACTTCCATTTACCTAGGCCTCTGCAAACAGCTCGGCATTGTGGTCAGCCTCGCCTTGCCCTGGTAAGGCGTCTCCCATCACTACAGCCGATGACCTTGAATCGCTCAGTGTCCTATTGATTTCTTTCCAATTGCATTCCTTTACTCCTTCCACTGCATGTCTGTACGCGGCTGATTGCGAGGACACGAATTCATCTGAATACAGGTTAACTTGCTCTAAGCTTGTTCGTTGTTGCAACCTAACAAGTTTCGACATGTGTCGTGATGGCGGATAGGCTGAGTCCAAGTTAAGTTGGCTGATCTAGTCTTGCCAGCGACGATATCGTCAGCGTGATCGAACTCCTTATGGTCTCTCATTCACACGGTTCCTAGTTATCCAGGATGACTGATATTAAATTGCGACTTGTGGAATGTGATTATTTACTTGGTAACAGAGGGGGCACTGTTGACATGTGAACATAAACTGCCGATAAGCGAGAATACTGCTTACAGTCAACTAACAGTTCACGAGAATCGAAATGTCCGCTATCGACATGGGTGTGATTTTGAAGCGCAACTTATCATATCGAACAATGCATTAAATGTGCTTAAATGCTACTTTATGGTACGAATTTGTCACAATGTTTTGCCCTGAATTGCCTGGAGTAACTTGGCCTTTTAAGTTTCCTGGTGCAACTTTGATCTGGTTTCAAAGGTTGTTCGGTTGGCACTGCCGTAAAGGAAGCGTGAAGGCCTTAGAAGGTGATTCATGTGATACTATGAGACATTGGCTGGCCACTTGACATAAGCTTCGACTAACCAACTTTTCATCCTAATTGAACAAAATCTATCGACCCTCAAGATGCGCTTATGAAGTACGTATAAAACCCGTCGTTCTGAATGCGTCGCGCAAACAGCCATACTTTGTGCCATTAAAAGTTCTCGAATTACTTTGTGTGTGAACCCAAAACAGTGACAGGTCGATGCAGACACTTGCAACTAGTTCATTTTCTATTTTGTCGTTTTTTATACTGCCGTAAGTAGTATTGATGTTAGTTGGCCAATATCTTCAAGATTCCGAAATTACTCTAATTCAGACTGTTCCGGCAATACTTTTCTTTAGTTTATCAAGAAGATTAGAGAGTAGGACAGAGCGTCGCGAACTGCACTGAGGTCGTCGTGATTAGCCTGCTGCTCTACCCGGTCCGTTGAAAAGGCAGCTTCTAGGAAGCTGTCTCAAATCCAAGGTACGCGCATTCACCTAGCCATACTGATTAGCAGGTTCTAGGTGTCCGGATTATTCCACGTAACGTGTGTACTCTCGCTAGATAAGGATCAGGCGTTGCTAATGACTTATTAACCCACGTTGAATAGTACGAGTCCCATGCAAAAGCTAGGATACCGAGGGGATTGAGTGATGCGACGCGTTCCTCTTCTTGTATCGTGACCTAAGAGAAGGAATACGACTGTATTTTAATTCAATAGAATCGAGCCGGCATTTTTGAGGATTGTACTTGTTTTAGTCGTGCGGAGGATTTTGGGTATGAGTTGTTGGGGGTTTCCTCGCAGCTGCTTCCAAATCAGTAGCCACCCACATACCCAGTAGGGCACTAGATGGCCGTTTCGACCCGTTGAATCGCGTCAGTAGTGTGCATCAATCAAGGTCCGAACCCATGACCAGTAACCAGCCCAATTGCTGCCCGGATGCACACCTGGCTGTTCACAATGATGAGGATCTCCTTTGAGTAACCGGCACATCTAGCTACATGCCCGTCGGCTGATACAGTTCGGCTGGCTTACCAGTAAACAATTATAGGGTTGAATATTTACAAGGATGTGATTTATGAAATATTCATCTCCGTCTATCACAATTCTGTGCTCGAGTACACTGTGGCACCAACGATGAAGTAGGACTAGGAATGCATCCCTGATACAGCGTTGCGTCGTCAGCTGTAATGGGACCGACGCGATATGGGTTGTATCTCGCCACTGCAATTGACGCATACCAAAGCGTGTGTCTAACAGGACGTCTGCTGATGTTCGACATTTGTCATTTTGTATGCTAATCAAACAAGTCTGATGCTAGTGTTTCATATAGAGCACCACCTCTCGAGTGGTCAGCTACTTGCTACCACTATTGACGATGTGCCATATCCCTATTGTATTACCGATTTCAAAGCATGAGTTTATCTTCCTGTAGAATTAGTTCAGCTATCACTGCAAGTATTTCAAAACTGCAATATTTCTTCATCCCGTAAGAGGGAGTGACTACCAGCCACCCATCACAGGGCAGCGAAACGTCCATCTGAGTAGATGCATGCTCTGGTAGTACACGTGGCACCACCATTCTGTGTCTGTGTGTGTGTTTTGTCCTGACGATGGAAGCTGTCAGGTGGAGTCAATCACTGGGTAGATAACACATAGCCAGACAGTGTGGGCTGACTCCGAATAAAGATTGGCTCCAACTCGTAAGTCCCTCGATAGTGTCCCTTCAGGCTCATTCTAAAGGAGGGAAGCGATGTGCACCGTGTAGAATGCCCTAGGTCACGCATGTTTTCCTTCTTAATGTTGCCCGGATGCGGTTGTTCTTTATCTGCACAGACACGCAACTTCGGCTACGGTTAGCGCCGAACACGGGATTATAGACACAGGTGGTGCGTTGTTATTCGTCTTGGAAACTTATATGTTCTTCAGGACGGACAAATAAAAGTGTGGGTGGTGCCAGCCACGCACCTCCATACTGAACTCAGAAACATGCTGACGAATGTTATCAGAAGGTACTGAGTACCAGGTCTACTTGGAGTATCTCTCAAACACCGAATGTCAACTCGGCATGCGTTACACGAGCTAATTACTGCCTAGGCCACCCATATAACGGAAAACAGTAGCAACCTGGTGTTCCCCGGAATGGAAGCATTCTCCTTCCCAAAGGGAACACTCCAGTCGGCCAGTAGTATACTGCAACAGACTGCAAGCATCAACCGTCGCCCGGTGGCGGAAAGTGTTGCGCGCCCGCGTTATAATCCGGAGATCACCGGTTTGAGTCCGGTATGTGCATGCGCCCCCGCGGTATGCCCGACCCACGCGCGACTGTTGGTGGCCGCGTGACCGCGAGGCTCGGTACGGCGCGCTGAGGTGCTGATGCCTCTCACGTATAAACGACAAACCGTCTCCTGCCGGCCAAGTGAAGTGCTCGAACAACCTCTCAAAGTCCGTTTGCGGAGGCCACACGAAGACTTGATAGAAACCATATTCGAACTAAACAGATGGGTGAAATGAATTCTGCTTTTATGCACTCTATCGATCGCTGTTGTATGTGCACAGACATGCGCAACTTTTGTAGGATGACTTCTCGACCCAGTATTGTTTGCAACAACACAGGATCACCAAGTTACCTACGTTATAACTTGATCTGGTGTGTGGACACCTATGGCGTTGGCTGTTTACTTCCATCTAAACATCGCTTCCCGCGAGAAATTGTGGGGCTACAACGTCCGAGTTTTCATCCCTCACAGACATCGATAGGTTGAGTTGACACGGGGACACTGAGACAACCATGATGTTCACTACTGGTATGTGCTGTGACCATGTAATTGTCCCGTCAACACGCTCCCAGAGGCAAAGCGTAGGTACTCTCAGCCAACTTCGGAATAATAACTCACATTCACGGACTTCTGAAGACCTTACCAAACATGATCCACACTCTGCTAACTATTCGAAACTTAACCTCTTCTCCTTCTCACCTTTCGTCTTACATTTTGCGATTTAAGTGGCTGGTTATAAAATGAAGAATTTTGGGTCCATTATCTTCCTCATCCCATTCTATTCACATCCAGGTTAACTACTTGGAACATGTTCAGGCCTTCATCACAGTCAGAGCCAAGCGCCGTGGGGACTTGACCATCTTCCTCACTTCACCAATGAATACCACTTCCATGCTACTTCGACGTCGTCCACGTGACAATGACAGTACACGTGGATTCACCAAATGGCCCTTCATGACCACACACACATGGAGTGAGAATCCACGTGGCACCTGGCGGTTGCGTGTCATGCTTGACCCACGATCGAAGAATATACTTGGTCAGGCGACTCTCACTGAGTGGATCTTGGTTCTGCATGGCACCCGTGATCAACCGTACAAGCATCTCCCTGACAGCACGATTTCTATAGCACCAAAACTTGGTGTTATCAAACGGCAACATGCGACGAACCTGTTCCAATCCTAGTGTCTGTCTCTGTTTGTGCTTCTCTGGCTAAATGTTGTCATGTCCGAACAGATTGACCAGAACCTATATGATCAGCTCACCGAGCGCCTGTCCTCAGATTCACCGTCTTTCCCAAGAGAACAAACCATATTTGCGTTACAACACTGTCATATTCGCGATCAACGGATATACACACCCCGACGGTTGGACAACGGGACCCCAATTTTGTGCATGTCCTTGTGTGTGTGTGTGTGTGTGTGTGTGTGTCACGTCACCCCGTTCAAGTAGTCGGTCCCAACTTAGTTCGGACCATGTTCAATCTGGCCCCAATCTCCTTGCGATAACGAGGTGTGTGCAGAGCACTGTGTCAAAACCGCTTCTGTATACATCGTCCGTTCTCGTTTATATCCATCGCATGAACATTTAGAAGTGTGCCTTGACTGTTGTTTGATTATTGTTCATTGTCCACTGCGAGCTTGGAACAACGGTACAGTTCATCTTTTTATGTCGCGCCCGCTTTTCCACACCAGAGATGTACCTAAATATATTTTCATCTCATAACACAACCGACTTCCCCCAGTTGTATCGTGTGTGTGTGTGTGTGTGTGTGTATGTGTGTGCAAATGATGGACATGAGCAAACAAAAGTGATCCAGTAGAGTTTACAACCTGTCCAGCTTCCTGTCTCCAAACAACAGACGCATGAAATTTCCAACTCTCGGATAAACCCTCAGGACGTTGTACGGCCAGTTCGCCTAGAGCAGTGGTTCTCAACCTTTTCGAGGCTGTTACCCACAAAGCGAGTTCAATATAAACAATAATCCCCACAGTACCATTAACAATAACCGGTATGCAACTACATACTTAAATATGCGTGTGATCCATTAAACACGTGGTGCAAAATGGATGACGGGATTTTCACCCTTATGTCCACGGCAGTGTTAAGCTGACTAATAATTGCTTTTGAACACACAGGTCCGGTTTCATCCGGTTTATCGTGACGGCCTTCGGCGAAACGGAGGAAGCGGGGACTAGGGTGACGTAATACAAGTGTGGACGCTGATCTAAGCTCTATCCGATGACGCGTAGTCAGTAGGTGTTTACCTATTGAGGAAGATGGCGGCTTGCGCAAGCACAGAACCTCAGTGGAACAGGGATGCTGGTCAATTTCACGTTGAACCCACCTTGGCACATGTTCCTTTATTCGGGAAGTCAAAGATCGATTGGTTCTGCCTATGTAACTGTCTCCGCAGTCGCAGTGTGAGCTGGTGCCTATCGGTTGAGCTTCCTTCGTTAGAGGCACCGGCAAGTTACAGGTTCTATTGATGACCACAACCTGAAGAGCACAGTAACTTCTCTGCGTAGCAGAGATTAGACGTTTGGTGGTTTTCAGTACAGTAAAGTCACCCTTGAAAGTCAACACGAGATATATATTTAACTTGACTGCCGTATACACCAAGTCTTTCAGGCCTGGCTGTTGGCTGTGTTTCTTCAGAAATCTACGGGGATAACCAATTGCAATGAGTGTTGTAATTAACTTTAGCTCATCGGTTAGACAATCAGCCGAGCAAATTCGTCTAGCACGACTAACTAAAGTTTTCACAAAGGTGCGCTTGTACCGCAATGGTATGAAGCTGGTGAATTGCAGGTATTGGCCGGACCAGGTTGCTTTTCTGTAGACAGACCCCTTAATGAGTCCGTCATCCCTGCGACTGATGGGGATGTCTAAGAATGGCAGACAGTTCCTCTGTGTCATTTCGCTGATGACCCGCAAGTTGGTATGTGCACAGTTGGGTTGCTACGCAATGTGGACAATGTGCTGCTCCGACGAACAAAAAGTCAATATGTCATTCACATAACGCTTGTAGTACGGTAACTTGGCTATTTTTGCGGACATGCCTCTTTCTATCATCAGCATGAAGAAATCGGCAACTACGGGGCCTAGTGGGCATCCCATTACCACATCATCTATTTGACGATATGGGGTGTTCTGAAAGTGGAAGCCAACATTTGCTGTACACAGAAGTAAAGATTCCTTTAGAAATTCGACTGGAATTGGCTACGAATAACTACAGTGCTCAGCTAGCTCACATATGTAATCAACATTTTGTTGGAATGGGACGTTGGTGAATAGAGATTCCACATCCATCGTACACGACCTTATCGGAGAGGTTGATGTCCTCTAAGACATGCATAAGTTGAAGAGAATCTTTAAGACTATATGGATTGGATAGTTGTCGCAGAGGCGAAAGTATATTCACTAGCCAGCGAGCAAATTTATGCTGCGGCCCATTTACCATTGATAGAATCGGCATAAGTGGTACTCCACTCTTGTGCGTCTTCGATGCCCCGTATAGCTAAGAAGTAGTGCTGCCTCTTGTCTTCAAACAAGTATAGATGTCACTATCAATCACGTGATGAGGGAGAAGCATTTCAAGATGGGCAGCTATGTCATCTTCAACGTCGGCTACGTTCTCCATCTTATTAAGTCGTTCAAATTTGTTCCCCACCGTTGAGTATGCTACTCATTTTCTGATCGTATTCGGCCTTGTTCATGACCACCACTTCAGAGCCTTTATCCGGTTTCATCACAACTACGTTCGTAGCACGTAGTTCACGCAGCGCCTGAAGATGTCGGCCCGTAAGTGCGCATTTTTCAGTCACTGGCACAGTCTTAACTTCGTGTGCAATGTTGGTCAATTTGTTTCTAAACCAAACGATACTCGCAGGACTGGGTGGTTGAAGCTCCATAAATTAATCAAAGAACTTCTCAAACATAGCTTCCATAAACAACCCGTCCAGTCTGCTAGGAGGAATTTTGTAACTGATTATTAAAACAAAGAAGACATCTTTTCTGAGCAATTTTCAAATAATCAAGATGGGATGTAGGAAAGTGCGACGTTTGCTATGCCTTGGTTCTAACAATTTCTGGTATTGTGGTTTCGGCGAATACATATCCTAATTCGTGCTCCATGTTCATTCGGTTTCTTGCTTTTGATGTCTGTTCCCTGGTAAAACATGAACAGATGTCAGTGGCTTCTCATTTGTGTCAACCATCCATTCTAATTTCGTCCCGAATGACAGATCCCACCACCGCTCTGTATTGATACCTCCTGAACACTAATCGCTTGTTTTGTTCCTTCTACCTAATAAACGTTCGCTCCTGGTCGGCTGATCTATGCTCCCATTCTTAGTGTTCACTCAACTATCTAATTCAATCTGGTGAACGATTGTCTGACACAAGAGAACAACGATCGACCAGTGAGCCGGTACTGCGGCCATCTAGCTGCGCTACTTTCCAGGCTTGTATTCGTATTTTAGGTAACAATTTATTTAGTATTGGTGTTTTTATGAGTATATAATTTTTCCAGAAAGTAGAAGCCACGATTAAACTTTGCATCATAATCTGCCCCGACGGGGAACCGAACCCCGGACATACGGATTACCGGTCCGCTGCTCTACCAACTGAGCTACCGAAGACTGACGAGCAGGTGCGCGAATTAATACATGACTTCTGCTTGGTTCGTGACGTATTGCCAATAAGCTCACAATATCTGTCCTGGTGGTGCAGATTGGCTCACTCACTCGTCACTTCTCAATGAACCGAAGTATCTGTTCTTCAGGTGCTCAATGGACGATGGTAAATTTAGAGTATTGGTGGTCAATACACACAATTTATTGCCGAATGTTGTCTACTTTACTGACCACTTACTAATGCTTTCGGATGACTAACCAATAGTGTTTAGGTAGTTAGTTACATTTTTGATGTAGATTAAGTTGGTATTCATTTTGTTTGGCAACAGGTTAGTGACCCCATCCTCACACTTATTTTTACTCCCTTGGGGGTAATTACCACCGGGTTGAGAACCACTGGCCTAGGGGATTGCGTTGGATGCTGTTTCTTTGAAATGGTTGCGTCTCGCGCGGATGATAATGTGCGCACGTGCGCATGTGTATGTGTGTAGCACAGGTCTTAGCAGGGCGGGAATAGATAAGGGTGCAAAATCAAGTTATCTATGTACGTAGACCGATAACTCGGTCACGAGGATAGACAGCTGGGTGTGATTGCTCTGTACACCTGACGACGACCAGAGTCATGGTCTCAACTGTCTTACTTTACGACCGTTTATAACTCGTATCCATGCCTTGTTACCATAAAAACATAAACTAAAAAGACCCTATTCACAAGGAATAAACAATTACTCAGGCTCAACATGTCAAAGCACATGAAGCAGTGAACGGCCATCACCGGTCGGAGTTATGTGAAGAGACGATGGCAAGGAGGTAACTTATATTCACCTTTCATTGTCCCAAGTAGCAAGTTGCGTTGCCGCAGAATTAATTCATCACCAGACACAATTTAAGCAAATAGTCTGGTAAGCAGACGATGTGAAATGAGACACAGGTGACGGTTGTTGTCTCGAGCCACATATAGATCGAGTCTTGTTAACCCCAGCCTCGGAAGTGAAACTGATCAAAGGTGTCCAAACCCAATTGGCGTGCTAACGATTAACCTCATCGGTCATCGTGCTGCCTAACATCGTTTCAACCAAACGGGGCACTCCCCAATAGGCGATGGGCGCGCAGACGTATAACATTCCAAAAGTAAGTGACACCATTGAGTGTAACAACCACGAATTAAACACCTCCATCGGCAGGCACAGCATACATAGTCGCTGGAACAGCGAATCCGAGCCACTAGCAGTCTGTGTCAGCTTCACTCATAGCGAAGATCTGTACCAAAGAAGCTCATTTGGTTTCACTCGATGATGTGATGAAGTGCCTGTACAACTCTTCGTTACGGATAAGTAGGTGCCTCCTGGCACGATCAATGTTCCGCTGACAAAGCAGGCAAAAGGTCTGAGGACCCCTGAGATCCGCTGGTCGAAGGGACCAGGTGTTATTTTGGTAGCGGATAACGGTCCACATTGCAAGCCAGTATACGCTACAGTCAGGATCAGAAGAATCACTATTTGGACTCCCTTGGTGTCACAGACTAGTGCAGGTGGTTTTGCCTTTTAGGATACAACGGTCAATTAATGCAGCTATCATTGCTGATGAATGTTATCCGTACTCAAAGCTGGTCTGTAGTCGGTTGCCCTACGGGAACCCCCGCTCTTGATGACATAAAACGCATACCAAACGACGGAACTATTTCGCAGAGCTCACTTCGCCGCTTCACAGTCATCAAGCGGTAGAGTACCCCTTTCCACATGCCCATTTTTCTTGCTCGTATAGAGCAAATCATATTGGAAAGATGACCAAGTGACTGAGAGAGTCCGAGAACATTGTCCGGCGTTGCTCTACACTGGTGTCAGAAAGGCAGTAGTCAGCGCGGTGCTGTGGCATTTGGTTGACTCAAATCGCCAAGTAAATGTGCGAGAGGCCTTCCGGCCTATCTACAGGATGTCTGAACATCATAAGCGAGCCCTCCGATGTCGCCTATTAGCGACAGCGTAGCCAATCGCTATTCGGCTCCATAACCCCGATTTATGTGCTCAAAAGAATTTTGTACAGGCTCTACAAGTTACCATGGCCTCAAGCTTCCCCATGTAATGATGCCACACTT